GAAATGCCACTTATGATTACAAGAACCACAGTTGGAGGGGTAAAGAGAGGTCTGGCATGAAATCTCCTTCTCAAAAATATTATAATACGGGCACCCTGCAGAATCCATCTAGCATTTCACTTTCTTCCCCTGTTTCATTGTTAATGAATATGTACCAGACTGTCAACCACAAGCAGGAAAGCATTTCCACCCCACACTGTGTTGTTTACATGTGGGTGATATTGTCTTCTTTATGTCATTGAACCTGTGACCTGTCATGTGTGATTATCATGTCAGTATATTAACATGTCAGGAAGTACAAAACTCCTGGCTTCTAGCTTACAGGGGAAGCTGCAGAGGGTGGGAGACATTCTGCTAGCCAGATGAGGCAGAGTTTTGCCAGCTTCCAGTGCCAGGGAAACCCTGGATAGTAATCAATACCAAACCTATGAACAGGACCACCCAAGGATACATGGCTAAAAACCCAAAGCTCCTTCCTACCTTGGTCTGATCTCTTGGCAAGCCTTCTTTCTAGTCCCAGCTTTGCTCCCACCTACTTGGAGAAGAACTCCCAAACAGAAGTTGTTTTGAAGGAGCTGGGGCAGAAAGAATAATTGGAAAGCCACTCTCAGATGCTGGAAGTGTCATGTGGAAGAGGGCTCTGGTTAGTTATATCAGCCAGGGTTCAGGCTTTAATAAATATTGATTGATGGATGGAGGTCAAAGCTAAAGCAAATAGAAGGTCTACACATGTTCAAAGATTTTGAGTTAGACATGCTGTCCTTCCGACCCTTCCTAAAAGGAAGTCACAAAGGAAAAGCAAAATAGTGATTAAGGGGCAAGAGCAGGCCATTTTCCTGTAGGGCCTTCTAAGTTCCCAGGCCAGGCCTGCCGCCTTCTTGGGAGATGGTGTGCTCTCAGCCACAGCTTTCCCTCATCTCCTCTCCTGACATCTTTCTGCCAGATGATCCTTCTGGAATTCTGGAGGTGCTTGGCTGCAATCTGAGCCCAGAGCTTCAGTCTACCAATTTCCCCCTAACTAAACCCCTCTGGAGAGCTGGGCCTAGAGACTAGACATAGAGAAGAGGCAAGGCACATGACTTTTGGAGCCCTGGGAAATATCTCCCCCAGCTCACAGCTGGGTGCCCTGAGTAGAGTAATAGCTCTGGCTCTGAGCATTCTGGGAACCCCTTCTTCAGCCCTAGCATACCTTTATCCTTTCTGAGCTATCTATCATGTCTTGAATATTCCCTGTAGGATTATTTTGAAAGTTTTTGATTATAATCCACAATCTCAACAAATTACACATTATATATAAACATAATCAGAGTGTAGACCCAATCCAGTTGTAATTGTTAATAGGAAAAAAGGAAAAGGAAAAAACCCCCACAAAGACCTAAAAAAGTAGAGCGAGAGTGTAGAGGGGCACTGGGGTGGGTGGAGAGGAATAATTTCTGCAAGGTTTTGTTTGCATGGAGGATTTGCTTAGGAGGGGACTCACTCAATGCTACCTATCCTTCCCCCTGAATCCCTCTGTGGGATTAGGAAACTACTCGGCCTTGGGAGGTGGCCCTGCAGCCAGCCTCTCCTTCCCTGGGAACCATCAACCGGTGCCAAAGCAGGTTCCTCCCTACTTCTCCCTAAGCACTGTGGGACTCTGTCCCTGAATTTCAGATCTGGAGGACTCGGGGCACTCTGTGTCCCACAGTCTTCAAAGACCACCCCCTTTCCTAGATCAAGGCTCCCTGACCTCTGGCCTCTAGAGCACTGGGAGTGGTGCTGCTGGAATTGGGCAAGCCCAGCACAGTCAGCTCGAACTCTCAATTCGAGAGACATTTGGAGACAATGACACACATTTAAATTTATACACTATATAAACATATTTGGTCAAGAAATGTTTAGCAAATATGTCCTAAGTTTTTGCTTGAAATCGTTGCTGGTATTGGTGCGATAGCCTGATATTAACACGAATGACAAAGAGGTGATTTTCGGCATGCTTCTGATTTCTGGAGAAAACCATCAAAGATAAATGGAGACGTCTGACCATGCTTCTGGATGCCTAGCTCTGACCTCTCCTCCCTGCCGCTATTCTTCAGTCACCAACCGATGCTGACTGCACACGGGGACAAGGCAACTTCCTCTCAAGGGTTATGTCCCTTCAATTGACGAAGGTCGCTGGGTCATCAGGGGAAACAGCCTTTTCCAGGATGCCAGAAACCCTGATCTGTGCCACCAAGGGCATTTCAGTCGAGTCTGGGGATGGAAAGAGACGCAACTGTACAAATACGGGTGGAGAATCTGAGAGCAGACAGAGTCCAGGAACTGCTCCAGTTCTGGGAAGGTGTAAAGGAGGCCGATCTGCTGTAGGGACAGGCCCTGGCCACGTTTTAAGAAAGGGAGAAGGCCGCTCCGAATCTGCGCGATTATGTCTGGTCCACTTCTGCTGATGGTACCAGCACGCGCGGCCCTCAGCTTAGGCTCTAAGAGGCCGCGAGTTGGCAATTCTGGCTGAAAGTACCCCCAGATACGCACGCTCCCACCCTGGGCCCCTCCACGCGCGCGCCCGTCCCCCACGCGCGTCCTGCTTTCCCAGGCTCAGACGCGGACAGATGTTTACTGCTGCGGAGACTGAGCGACCCGAGCGGCACACCGCGCGGTGTTGGCGGGGCTCTGGGCTCCCGGTCGGGGGTACGAGAGGGCTGAGGGAAGGGGGGAGAGCGGAGGGCGAGGGGGTGGAAAAAGAGGGGGAGGAACGGGTGGACTAATGATGAAAAAGTCTCCTCCATCCTGGCTCCTTAATTAAATGCATGGAAAGAACCGAGGCGAGCACATCTGGTTTCAATCTGCAGCCCTTTGATGGCATCAAATGTTCTTTTCCCAGATCTGGGCTGGAAGTTCTGGGCTAACTATGGCCGTTTGGAGCTCAGAAACCATTTACACACATTCGGACCCTTCCTTCTCTTCAATCGAGCCTCTCGGTTATAGGAAAAAAAAAAATCTAGCAATCAAGGGAGTGAGGGAGAACGTATGCATGTGCGTGTTTTAAGAACATAAAACGCCACAAATAAGCACTTAATATTTTACTTACTCGTCATTTCTAATGAGACTACTAAAGCTGTTACCAAACTCCAACAGGTCATGAAAAAACTGCTCAGCAGCTCTTTGTCTTCTGTCAAGTTAGGGCTCTGCAGTCAGAACCTAGATGGGGGATCCTCCGCCCCACTGTATCTCTGGGACCGCACCCGGCTGAACGCAGAACCGTGCAGCGCCCACCGCCGCGCTCTCTAGAAGTGCTCCAGTCTCTTCCGACTTTGGGTAGCCGGACTCTCTGGGCTTAGCGTCTTAGCCTGAGAAGCGACCTTGGCCACACCAAAGAGGTTACAAAATTGACGGGGGAGCGGGAAGATTATGATGTAGTTCTAGAGTCCTTTCCTGCAGCTTAATAAATGTAAATTTCCTACTGCCTTTGGCCCCGGGATTCCAAATAGCAGGGAAAGCCTCGAATCCATTCGATGCCTTCTAGATCCTCCTCCCCAACCTGCCTTCAGTCAACGGGAGAAGCGTGGGAGAGCCTCCCATTATTATCGCTCTTGTTATTTTATTACTTTATTTAACAGGCTGTCTGTCTCTACAGAGCCAAACGTAGCCTTCATCTGCTTGCTCTTTCCCTCGTTCTCTCTCAGACGCTCCCTGCATTCCCCCCCAAAACTGTTAGAACAGCAGGAAACGTAAAGAGGGGGGTGAGGAGGCAGAAGGAAAAGAAAATTTGATTGTGATAGTTGTGGATTTTTTTCAACAAGTTTTCCCGCAGCTGTTATCAAAACATGCAAATGAGATTTTCCAACAAGATCTTAAACAAATCTGGAGGAGCTAATGCCGAAACAAAATAATCATCCCGTTTGAAGTGACTGCGGGTTTCAGTTTGTCTCTTCTCCCTCTGATACTGTTTGCAAGGGAATGATAATAAGACCTTTACTTTAAAATTCAAAGGGGCTCTCTCCTCTTCCCTCCCTCTTCCCTCTCTCCTCCCTCTCTCCCTCTCCTGCTCCCTCCCTTTCTCTCCTGCTCTGATGTTGGCAAAGGGGGTTTTCTTAATCAGACTGGTTTTTGGTCGGAGGGAAAGGAGGAAGAAGGAGATTGTGATGGAGAAAGGGGGTCTGTAAAACGTCAGGCGAGGCACAAAGGCTTTGCCACGTAATTACAGGCTCCTATTAAGTCGAGATCTGCCCTCCCAGGGGTCTCCAATTTTCTTGTATTCCCTACAAAGCCTCCTCTGCATGCCAGTTTGTGCCTTTTGAAGTGCCAGAGAGCTTCTTGATCCAACTGAGAAGGAAAAAGGAGCCCAGCAAGAAGAGGGGGAGAGGAGAGAGAAGGGAAAGGGGGGAACCCACCACTACCCTCCTTCGGACTCTTGAAGCCCTATTTTTATTATTTTTTATTATTTTTTTTTGTACTTGCGAAAAGTAAAGAATCCTGCTCTCTAATACATCTGCAAGACATCACCCTCTCCTACTGAAACTTTAGTCACTCCTGAGAATCCACAGGAGTGCGGAGAGGGGGAACACGTTTTCTTGAAGATGTTTTAAAGCTGGAACAAACCTTCTTCTGTTGGTGCTTGAACTCTTGCCGGGGAATAACTTTTTTAACCTTTTTTAAAAAACCCACTTTGATTTTTTTCTCCCACCCCTTCTTCTCTCGTCTTCTGTTTGCCTAACTCCCCCGCCCTTTTGGCCTGCCCCTGTTTTTAGCGTGTGCGTGTGGACGCTTTTTTGAGAGTTGGAAGTGTTTTTTTTCCTCCTCATTTAAACATAGGGTAACTTTTTAATTCAAATTTTTTTTTGGTGTGGATTATCTCTTTGGACCGCGCCGGACTTGGCTTCAGGAAACCAACCAAGGCTGCCTGCCGAAAGCTGCGGGTGCAGAACGCTCTGCTCTGCAGAAGGGGGTCCCCCGCCCTCTTTTCCACTTCTTTTTTTTTTTTTTTTTGGCCTTCCTATCTATTCTCTCCCTCTCTCTCTCTCCCTCTCTCTCTCTCTCTCTCTCTCTCTCTCTCTCTCTCTCTCTCTCTCTCTCTCCACTCCCCCCTTTCTTCCCCACTCGGCTCCTCTCCCCCCTCGCGCCCACAGCGTTTGGTGTTGATTCGAGCGGGAAGAGGGGGGTGGGTGGGATTGGAGGGGGAGACCATGACCTCCAGCTACGGGCACGTTCTGGAGCGGCAACCGGCGCTGGGCGGCCGCTTGGACAACCCAGGCAACCTCGACACCCTGCAGGCGAAAAAGAACTTCTCCGTCAGTCACCTGCTAGACCTGGAGGAAGCCGGGGACATGGTGGCGGCACAAGCGGATGAGAGCGTGGGCGAGGCGGGCCGGAGCCTGCTGGAGTCGCCGGGTCTCACCAGTGGCAGCGACACACCGCAGCAGGACAGTGAGTGAAGGGAGCATGCCGAGGAAAATGTATGCCTGGGACAGAGGGTGGAGACCCAGGTGGGGCAGCGGAGCTAGAGGAGTAAAGTCGGGGGTGGGTTTCCAGAAGAGATGGGACAATCGTTAGATAGATGGCTGATCACAGATAGGGAGAAAGGGGTGAAAAAAGGACAGTGTAGTAGAGACAGAAGCTGGAGAGAGGCTCCAAGGCCCAGGGACGCTCGAGGCCCTGCGGTCCGGGACAGGGACGCTCGAGGCCCTGCGGTCCGGGACAGGGACTCTGCCGCCGGGGACTCTTTCTTAAGCCGGCGGCGCCGTGTGTCCCAGTCCCCGCGAGTGCGGCTGCCAAACATCAGGCAGGCGGGGCGACCAGGCTGGGCTGGCTGGGAAAGGGTCCCGCTGGGGCGCAGACTTGAGAGCTAGCACTGTTTAGGAAAGCAGCGGTTACAGATCTTGAGTAGCGTTGGGAAGGCTTCTCCCGCATAGGGAAAGCGGGTTTGGGGGAAAGACACAGCGCCCAGGGAGCGGGACAGGCGGTGTTCTGGCCGCGCATCCTGCGTCTGCCACTAAGGCCGGGGCAAGCCCCGGAGCAGCGCGGGAACGCCCTGCGCAGTCGCCCTGGCTGCTCTCTGCCCCCTGCTGTCGCCTCCACCTGCAAATGGCTTTGAGACAGAGTTAAAAGCCCGTTTAATTCGGGCAAATTCAGGCGAAGTAAAGGGAATGTCCTCCAGGGCTGGATTCCGAGCAAGGGAAATGCACCGGAGGATCGTGTGTTTCAATTCAGAGGCCGGTGTCACATTTGAGGAGCTCTGCTTATTGACCCCTAGACCTCCAGAAAGTTCACCTACAAACTTCTTTCCTCATTCTCACTGACTGTAGTCCTCCTGCCCCGCCCCAAGAAAGGCTCACCTCAATTTAATTAACTTTGCCTTTAAAAAGAATCTCATGGTCCCTCCTGGTGAGTCTGTAACAGACCTGTCACCTGGTTCATCCAAGTGACCTAGAGCCAGGTACACATAGAGATTTCCTTCTTTCCTCTAGTTTGCAATTGTCTGAACTTGGCTGAAAATTTTGAAAGGATCGCTTTTCATGCCATGATTCGCGGATTGCTATTTCGTGAAATTTGGAGCCTGTGGGAGGGTCCTCCAGCATTTGTGATTTTCGTATAACACTGCCTATCTCAGACTTTCACAAAACTGACATTCAAAACAAACTGGACTCGGAAAGGCTGTAAACAGGAGCTGTAGCCCCACTAGCCGGCTACAGCAGGCCCAAAAGAGGTCCTCTGTAGCTCAAGGGCCTCCATGTCTAGCGCAGTCCTGGGCGACCCTCTGTCCTTGTAGCCAGAAGCGACCCAAGGCCAATCCATCCATATGCACTAGCCAGAGATGCACAGGGCAGTCGCTGACTGAGGAGGTTTGGTCTGGCCTTTCACTAGAGAAACTTAGTCAACTCCGAGGAGTGAAGAGTCAGTGTCCCCAAACCCTGGTTAAGGGCTAGGCTCAGTGGCATTCTGTTCAGAGTTTTGATGCTTTTTTAGGGGGAGGGGGAAGTCACTGCTTCTGCTGCGCGTGGGAGCAGCATGAATTGTTTGCATAGGCACTTTTAGCTCTAAGGAAATGCACTGCAAAATACTATGAGTATTTTAAGCACTTTATTAGGGAGACTGTAAAACATACAAAAAACTAGGAAGAATAGTATTTGGAACCCCAGCTTCAGCAGTTCTGCAATGCTAATAGTCCAGTTTCACCGTGACTAATTATTAATCACAACATTTATCACTATTTGAAGAACTAAAGGTTGGACTCCCAACAGAAAGTGCCACGAAGAAACCACTCTGTAAAAGACCAGATTGGGGCAGGAGAAATGAGACAGTGTTGCTTTACCCCCAAAAGAAGGCAGGAGAATGGGAAAAATGGGACCAAGACCAGCAGCCTCAGCAAGCTCAGAATCCAGGTCAGCCATGGGGACCATCAGCTACTACAGGGATGCAGAAAGTATTGGTTGTCTGGCTTTTTCCCAGGGGACCCCAGGAGAAGGGAGCTCAGGATTTGTCATGGTCTTGTGGTCTTGTAGTGGGTACTGAGCTAAGTTGGGCAGAGAAAGGCTACTGCAGAGCACCTAGAGTAGATTTAGAGACAACACACTGTGGCTAGGAGGCCAGCTAGGACTGGGGACTGGCTCCTTTGAATCCCAGGCCTTGTGCCACTAGGCCACACCTTGCATGTTCCTCCCCAAGGGTGTTCAAGGACAAGCTCAGGGTTTGGGACAGAGTAGGGGATCCTTTGTCCTAAGACAAGAGGACAAGACTTTGGGAACCTACCCTCATGATCCTTGACTGCATCTCATCCTCAGAAGGATTTTAGAGAGGCCTTGTGAGAAGAGGTGAAAAGAGGACCAGGAAAAGAAACTGAGGTTCCAGAGGCAAGCTAGGGAGAGAATGCACTGCAGAGGATGGTCAATAGATAGGTTCAGAAGGAGGTTGCAAAGGCAGAGTGACTGGCACTTAGATTGGGAAAGAACTCAAGAAAACACACACACACACACACACACACACAAACACACACACACACATAGAGGCAGGGGCAGGCTTTGCTTTTGCTTCACAGGGACATGGCCGGGGTGCTATTCTAACAAATAGTTTGTTGCTCTCTGAAGAATTGTTTCCTCAACTGTGATGAGAATGGGAGAATCTGTTGAGTCAAGGCAAAGGCCAGGAAAACCTTCTTTCTTGGTTCTTGGGCTTCCACCAGAATTGCAGAGGAAGTTTTGAGCTGCCTGGAAATCAACTTGTGGGGTAATGCTGAGCATCCTTTCCGCAGAGGACAATAAGGCTCAGACTGTGACTCACGGAAATGGGGAGTCTTGGGGCAGAGGACAGCTAGTGTTGGTCCCAGCTGCAAGGGACTGAGGGGTCACATCAGGAGTCACTAGGGAAAAGTCTGGTGCTCCTTGCAGTCAGCTGAGAATCTACCCAGAGTGGAAAAGATAATCTCCTTGGAACAAACGAGGAACAATGAATAGAGTCCTTATTCCAGTACTTTCTAAATTTTCTGTTCTGAGAAAATTAGCAGTTAGGTTCTACTTACACCCCCAAAACTAAATTCTTAATTTTGCAAAATTTTCTATTAAAACCTAGTCGAATGTAGCAATTAAGTATTGCTACTTAACAGGAATTAAGTATTGTTTGAAGTGAAATTGCTATACTTTTCCATCAGCAATTCACCTCCCTTGGTATTCACTCCATTTTCCTTTCTATAGAAGGATATTTTTTCCTTAAAAAAAAGATTCTCTCAGTTCGATAAAGTTCTCAAACTTGAGGGGGGGTTTTTGTTTGTTTTTATACTGTTAGGTATCCAATGGCTAATGTGGTTGTACAGTGTGTGAATGGGGGCGATGGCAGAACAGGGGTAGGTAGCCAGAGATTAGAAAGCGGGAACAGGGTCATAAAAATAGACCTACTCCCGGGAGGACAGTGCACCCCGCTGTCGTTTCTTAATCTCAACTTCTGCAAACTCTTAAAAAAGAAAAAAAAAAAAAAAGCGCCTGCCTTCCACGTTCCCAACCTCTAAATTAGTGAAACCAGATTGTCCTAATAAGACTTTTTGTTGGAAACACATGTAGTCATAAAAAGGTAGACGGAAAGTCAATTAGACAGCGCGCGCACACGCACTCAGAAGCTGTGCAAAGTGTGCACCGGAGCAGCTGGGCGCCGGGCCGCGGCGGGATGCAAATGTACAACAGCGGTGCGGGAAATCGATTTGTCCCAAAAAGAGACATGTAAACACGGCGCGAATAATCGCCGCCCAATCCACCCGCCAAACTCCCGCGGGCCCATCACCCCCAGCTCTTCTTCACCCGAGAAATGCACAGGAGAGCGGGAACATTTTCTAGGTTGCTCCCCAGTTAGAATTCGCATCAAAATACCATCAGTTCCTCCCATGTCTCAACGTTTGCCATAGTTATGGCGCACAAATACTTAATGCGGCCCTGCTCTGAGACTCGTGGTAACTGACACTCTGCGTTTGAATTCGGGCCTCATTTCTCCGAATTCAAGAGGGAGACAATAAAACCATCCTTTTAAGGATAGCCAGAAATTAAGGATCAAGGGCGGGCACTGAGTCCCCAAAGCAGAATGTGACTGCCCTGGTGGTGAATTCTGTTTATTTAAGGAGGGGCAGGGGCTCAGGGGCAGAGGGTCAGTGGTCCCCTCCCCTTATAATTTTGGAGAAATAGTCCAGTGACTTCCTCCCGCTTTGGGGCAAAGGACAGCTTTGAGTTTGAAGTGAGAGGGAGGTGGGCCTGTAAAGTTGGAGACTCCCAGCTGCCAATACTCCCTGGGGCTCAGATTCCCGTCTCTAGAAGACCGTGGGTCCCTGAGCCACCTTCATTTTGCGATGAAACCCTTTCCTGGGCCCCAGGAGCGCGTCCCCCAGACCTTAGACGTCGGACAGTTCTACACTTTGGCCCCGCGATCTTCCTCCGCAGCGCTCAGGTCAGAGCGTCGGAATGTCAGGTCGGCCGCGGTAGGTCACGTCGGTCCCTGCAGCTACTTCGTCTTCCCAGGGCCCTCGTTTTAGATTTTACAACGAGAGTGAATAAATCATCTCTAAACCAACAAGATGTCACCCTCCTCACGCCCTTGGCGGACGAAAAGAGTCCATTCACAAGCAATGATGCCTTTCTATTCCACTGACCCAGATGTGCGCAGATCCGAGTTTTGAATGCAGCCATCTCCGGAACCCGGGACCCCTTTACACTAAATGACAACCGTAGATTTTCAACTGTGAAGGTCCCTAGAACAATTTGATTTTTTTTATTTTAAAAGGCATATTTCTTTTTCAATCCTTACACCTTGTTTACCATTCCCTCTATTAGCGGGGCTCACCGCCAACCCTCCTTCTGGGCGGAAGCGCTAGGGACTGGGGTACGGGTTGTTGCAGAAGTCTATGCACACCCTTGCAAATAAGGTGACCCCCATAGGCCTCCACTCCTGGCGGT